TGTATATATATTATATATAACAACTAGCTGCGCCTCGCCGTGTTACCCGCGGTTTATTAAGGATATTTTCCGGCAGTAAAACGTAGCCTATGTGTTAATCCAGGGTGTCAACTAACTCCATACCAAATATTTATTAAAATCGCTCCAGCCGATTAGACGTGAAGAAGTAGCAAACACACAATCACAAACTTTCACCTTTATAATATTAGTGTGATAATAAAGAGTGGAATAACAGCCCTTGTTCATTTTCTTGCCGGTTCTTCTCAGTACGAGATCTCCGGCCGTCGCTGTGCAAACTGGCGGCAAAGTTTTTCGTTAATCAGAAATGCATGTAACAGCCTGATAGATTTATTTTGAGACAATTCCTCATTAGTAAATGTCACACCTGCAGTCAGTAATTAATAGAGACTCAAATCAAAACACTCAACCTGCTTCTTTTTTAATAAAGAGTTATTTTTATCTTCTCTACATTGGGAAGCCGGTGCTTTTGGTTTACACCATGCATCAGGAATGCTGTTTAAGCGTATTTCAGGTAAAGTTTTAATTTAGTTGAGGTTTGATATAAGACGATTATTTATTAAATTCTTTAAGTATGTGTATGATATTGGCTTGTAGTACGCTTCTACGTAAGCGTTTTTCTTAAGTAATAGGTGGAGATTGTAGGGGTCAGGACAATTGTTTGTGGCTATAACAAAGTCGTTTCGTGAGGACAATATTGAAGCAAGAGTTAAGTGATTGGACAGATTTTTGACCACATGAGCAGAGATCGTCAGTAATAATCCTAAAGGATAAATAAATAGTTGTACATTGGGTACTAGCTGTTAGAAGTAGTCAGGAAATACTATGAGAAGTTGTACAAAAGTATGACACCAAATATCGCCTAGCAAGTAGGTGAATCAGATTTCAAAATGAATATGTCAAAAACCAAAATCGTCAAACACATAGAAAACGCGAAAAATCACACCCTACCTGTAAAGTTTGTCAAACACTACATCTATCTTATCCACAAAAACAGTCTTGGATCCGAAGATCACTTGATCTTTTGTCAGGCTTGCCTAATGCATCGGACAAGCCTAGGCAGCATTCGGGGCTAACTAACGACTAACCATGTTCTGCGCTCCAAGAAAATCCTCAACACCTAAAAACTAAGGTGTTCAATCAGTGTGTTCTAGAAAAAAAAACTTCTAGAAAAATAATTCCTAAAATAATAATAATAAGACAAGACGAACCCTCACCCTTCACTATCAGGTCGAATAATCTCCCAAGTAATCTATCGAGACCATATTCTATAAGGTGCAATTTTCCTAGTAAGTATTTCTTACGCTCAGAATCAACGCCAATTTGTTCACACTGAATATAAACCGAAGATAAAAATAATAATTAAAACTGTTAACATTAATATAAGAAACATAACTCATGGACAATATTTTTAGCAAAACAAATTATAACACACTAATAAATTTTCCAGGTATTAAACCCCGGACCTTTCGTTTTTGCCGCAGCGTTAGTTGCGTATGTTTTAGTTTTTTTAACCTTTGATGCTCTGCCAACCCCACAATGGTTGAAAAGGACGTCTATGTTCGAAGACGACCCCAAATGTTAAGATAGATAGACATTGGGTACGATGGGTGCCCTGAAATCTTTGATATCATATGTGTTATTATCAAAACAGACTTAAGACTTAACAAATTTGAAATAAGATTATTTTCTAGAAAAATCGTTCCTCAGATTCCAGACAAGATGAACCCGCATTCTTTACTATCAGGTCGAATACTCTCCCAATTAATCTACAGAGACAATAATCTATATGCTGAAATTTTTCTAGTAAGTATTTCTCAAGCTAAGAATCAACGCCATGTTTTCACACTGAATAAAAACCGAAGATAAAAATGATAACCAAATCCCTTTAATGGTATAACAGTAAGATATGTAACATAACTCATGGACAATGTTGTTACTTAACTAAATATCGGGAATTTTCGTTTTAGCAGCAGCGTTAGTTGCGTATATTTTTGTTTGTTGAACCTTTGATGCTCTGCCAATCCCACCAATATGACTCTCACAGATATGAGCGCTTTTTTAACGCGATTGAAAATCCGCTTTTATTACGATCACATTGACTGATTTCTATCTTACGTCCAATAATCAAAAAATTGCCGCAATATAAAAACACTCGTGTGAACGAATACCCACTACTGCACTCGTTGGTTTCATCTCAGAATTCAAAGCGCGTGAAAAAGCGCTGGTGCGGACGGGTGCTTCCATTTTAACACCTAAACCACAGTTTTTAAATACGATGAAACTTCGAATTATATTTGGGGAACAGATGTATTAAAATAGGTATTTATAAGGAAAATAAGCTAACTACTTACTAAGTAAGCGGTTTACGTAGCCTATAAACGCTTTTAATACCATAAGCATCACTCACGAACCTGTTAAATATTTACCGCAAGAAGCTTTTCAAATAATATAACAAAAGGGTATTTACAAATATGGTTTAAACAAACGGTCATACATATATAAACGTGAAAATACAATTTTCTAAACCTATAGTTTCCTTGTTAATAAAGTGTTATACATCAATCAAAGCGTAATTTATTGCCTGCTTTTTAGTATTTTTTTTTGACTGAACTTATTTACGACGTTTAGCGTTAAAAAGAGTACAAAATATATAATTTTTTGACTTATTATGGAACAAATCCTTGTTCTTTCTGATTAATTATATTATCTCTTATTTTAGATTTTTTTTTTCAAAATTAATTTTTATTCAATTAAACTCTAAGTAACTTGCAGCATACTCATGCGGACACTTTTTAGTGCCCATTTTATTTTTTAACGATAATTGAGTGACTTTTTGTTTATCTATTTAACTGCTCTGCTTTGTGCTGTTTCTGTATCATATTTAATCAACCTTTTTACATCCTTATTTTTATCTGGCTGGACTACCGGTGTTTTGACAGAAACATAAACACCTGGACCACGATGGATGGAGCGAACTAAACGTTCGCATTTCTTTTCAATATGTGAGTGTTACTATGTAACGGTCGCACAATTTCGGTGGTAAAACCAAACCCAAAACCAAGTATGTCACAAGAATAAAATCAAACCTTGTAAAACCACGAAACACCCATGGCTCATACTGTGTTTTGATATAGTTTCTGATACGTACTGTGTTTTAAAGTGGTTTTAGTGCTATTTAGTATCCTATTAGGTTCTAACTTTATAAAATAATTCAGGCTCAAGGCGACGTAGAGCTACGAGGACCAGACCATTTTGTAGAGCATAACAAGGTGAATCAGGACAGCTAAAACTTCTTTTTTTCTGAGTTGGGCTTTATTGTGTTTTGCTTCTTGGCGGCTGCATTGCACTGATTGACAGATTTTCAGTCAAATGGCTTACGATTTTTATCCTCATGTTCACCATTTTCAGGAACTGTTCAGAAAAGCAGTTTGTGTTTGTTTTTTAATGCACAATTACGTAGATTCGTGGGCTCTCCTGAGAAGGTAAGCGTTGTTTGTATTATTTATTAAATAAATTAGTTTTTGTTACGAGGCTATGTCCCTATTACTACCCACCACCAGGGCTCCTAAGATGGCCCAGGTCTTATAAAACTACAGAATATCATAGTTCTTTTATTTCTAGTAGAAACTAGAACAAATCTTAATGCTGATACACATCCCTACTTTCTTCTAAATGGGTACTTAAAACGTTTAAATTAAAAATTCTCACTTCTTCAGTATGTTTAGTAGAATTAGTAAATATTGTAATTAATAGGAAAAATGTTATTGAACATCTTATTTTTTTTTATTACAAAAGATTGTTTTATGATCGTTAGTATAATAGAAAAAATCTTCTTATTTGATTTTATTTTGTGAATTAGGGCATATTTTTTATAAGCATATTAAGTTTTGATCACCCTAAGCTCGGCTGCACTAAGCTAGAATCAAGTATCTCGAAAAATTGTTATATTTTTATTTTTACACCGTTGGATTCCTTATCAAAAGACGCACATTTCTACATAAAAATTACAGATATAACTTTCAGGTTTCAAAGCTATTAATAAAAAGGATTCAAATATGTCAATGATAACAAATAAATAAAGCTGAAACCATTTTTTTTTTGCAAAAAATGAATAAAATCAAGTTAGTCAAACCAGACATAATTTAAAAATGGTTAAGTACACTAAAATTCCAATAAATCACTTCAATAGGTTCATTATTTTCTGAGATAATTGATTTATATAAATAAAAAACATTATTCTTTTCTCCTGTAAAAATTTCGAAAATGCAGATACTTGAATTTAGATTAGTGCAGACGAGCTGCTCCACCACCACCATAATTTATAACCAGGAAAAATATTGTTACAGGCTGATTAACATATAACACGAAATTGCACTTTCTTTATTTTATGTTGTCATCAATAAAACTCATTAAACTTAAAGTACCTCCATAATTGGCATTGTATCAGATGGGACTCAAACTGGCGACCGTTTCTTTTTCTAATGTTTATCTTTGTCTCAATCAATCTTAATAACCATACATCAGTAAAAACACTGATAATTGTTATTTTCACAAGCTTTAAATTATTAAATTGTATTTTAATTAAGGATAATAATTTTCTCATTCTTATCTTGAAGATAAATTGATATCACTGTAGCAGAACTTAACAAGCAAACTAAATAATCAGCTAAAGATCTTGCAAATTGAATATGTAGAAAAATATTACTAAAAGATTTTTTAAACTGAAGTAAATAAGCCACTTAAAAGTTTTAGACGGTGATTAGAATTATTTAGAAAGTACCGACCATATTTTATTACTCTGTCTTATACTTTATTTTGATACAAAACATAATTCAAAAGTAAGCATTCCGTAAGCTTCAATTTCTTAAATTTCGTTAAACTGGAAACTTGCTTGATAAATGTCGAGAAAAACTTCGCGCGCTTACATTCCGAGAGAGTAATTTATAAACCCAAATTTCTTAAAAATTCATGCACCTTACCTGTTATCTATCCAAAACTATTTTGTTCTGCCGAAACTATTATTGTCACTAAAAAACTTCCCTCACACTTTACAGTATAACAAACTCACTTTCCCACAACACTTTGTAACTGCACGATCAGTGATTCACTATCCTATAAACTATTTTATTGCTTATCGTGTCCGAGTGAAGCTGTTAACACATCCACTACTCGCGAGTTCACATCATCATAATATTGGAGTTACACACACGTCCGCTCAGCATGACACCTTGCGGGCAACTAACGCACCCCTGAGTCGCCAGCCAGGGTACTCTCTGCCTATGTGTTGGTAACTACCCTATCTGCAAAGCTCTGTGTTTATGCGGGAATCGTTGCAGTGTGCGAGATTTTAGACGATTGGGCGCTGTTGTGACAGGAAAAGCCGCGCATGTGAGGAACGTTCACCTATACCAGTTTCGAGTGTGTGCGTAAGGAAAACCTAGCAAATGTACGGCGCATGCGTTCGCCGAAAAATAAAAATCGTGTTTGCCGTTATTTAAATACTGATGTGAGAGGACAGATTATTAATCCAGTGTGTCGCTTACAAAGGTGGTGTGGTGGGTAATTTTCAGAATGAGGTTTCCATTTTACACCACACGTTAATTATTTCGCCCATTGCGAAATGTCTTAGTTGTTGGCGATTGTTTTTCGCTTATCGCAGGATCGTGCGAATGTTTTCCTATAATGTCGTCGTTTGTTTTCTTGAGAAAATACGCAAGAATTTTAAGTGATTCTATTTTAGTCTTGACGTGACATTTTCTGTCACTTAAATGAATGTAGATCTATATCTCTAAGTTAACTTAGCTTATAAATATAAGATTATACCCGAATTACTGCTTATGCTCAGAAAACTTGACGGGTTTGCTATAATCCAAACTTATTACTTTTTCATCTGAAATTTGAAATTCCTATCAGTAATTTGTCAGACAGTGAGTTAGGCAAGTAAAATAGAAATCAAGGCAATCTGAATTCCTTGTAAGCTAAGATTAGCATGAATACCTTTTGGATTACTGACGATGTGCCAAATGTTGTTATATTTGTTAAACAAAAATGAAAAAAGTGTAATTAATTTTCCAAATAACTTTTTACGTGAAAAGATACTTCTATGTACCTATTCAACACATTGCCTTAGTAATTTCAGACACAGTTAGCAAGTTTCCACGGCCACGTTCCGGTTCCATAGTCAGATCAGTTCAGTCATCATAATCATCATCAACCTATTAATGTCCCACTATTGGGGCACAGGCCTTTCCTATGGATGGTATAAGGAGACCGGGCAAGACCCACCATGCATGCACAGCTTAAAGTGCCTTCCGAAGTACGTAGGAGCTCGAGATAGTAAATTTTGGTCACCCATCCAATGACCGACCATTGCGAAAGTTTGCTTAACTTCAACGATCGCAGCCGAATGCCACCACTAGAGCCATCGAGCTCCTCATGATCAGTTTAATGTTGGAATAAAATTGAATTTTCATCCGATTTAAATATTAACCATGTAAAATTTAAGCTCAAACGGAAACAGGAAGCGGGTGAAATTTAACTTGCATGATTTGATTAACGATAAACAGTCGCCGGGTAGATGAAAAATAAATAACAGCTTGTTAAGAATTTATATGAAAAAAAAAGAACAATTAATTTTTTTCTTTAATGCTCATCAGAAACTTAGAACCTTACGGAAGATAACAGTAAAATAACCTAGTGTTATTTTACTATTGGTGGTGTTGTGTTTCTGTGAGTGAGTAACGTTCCAGTGCACCACGGGGTAGGGGTTTCGGTCAGGGTAGGTGCGAGCCATATTTTTGATATTGCACGCGTCTATAGCCCATGATATCCGCTTCCTATTATACAGGCCATATGCTTGTTTCCCACCCATTTAACATAAAAAAATACATTAAAAAAATGGTTGCCTGTAAAGTCGGTTTTACGGGCGAAGATTTTACGTGACAACGTCTTTTTCTCGGTAGAATATTTATTGATATGAATATAATTAAATTGCACAATAGGAACAAGGAATTGAATGAAAATAAGAATTGCACAAATTTTAACTATAGAAATATATTTTGTTTACTAAAACATTGTACATGTAAACTTAAACTTAACACGAGAGACTCATCGTAACGTTACCGAGCGTTACACTTTTTCATAAGTGACTCCCAGCCGCAACCTAATTTAAGACGTTGTCACGTCAAAAAGTTCAAAATGACATTGTAATTTACGCAACATCCTACTTCCATCATCGTTTTTTTGTTTAATTCATCAGCCAGTAGAGTCTGTGCGGTAAGAAAATGGGCGTGGCGAAAAATGGAAGTAGTATTAAGATTTTCATTTGGCAATCAAACCCAGCAATCTATAAAAAAAGTTTTGTATTGATACGGCTTTGTTTGTTGTTGTGATTTTTTGCGGTTTTTTGTATTTAATCATGTCTAAAAGGGGTAAAACCTTACAAATACGGTAGAAAAGCACTACAGCGCCCTCCAATCTAAATCCCATTCTCTTTTCGCACAGTCTCTATCACTTGTGGTATCGTAAGTTTTCTAACGACTATGGAACTGCATGAAAATCTCTCATTAGTATAGAATTAGTAATGTCTAATAAACAAAATAAGCTTATTTCATAATTAGGACATTAGTTTAAAATATGAAACAGGCACTCAAATTTTACTAAGTAAAATAATTAACCTAAAACTAAAAAACGTAAAAAAATATAATATAATAACTAAAATATATTATTAGAAGGAGTCCTTTTAGGCAAGGTTCCGAAGATACTGGCAGAGTTCCCCCTTTGAATAGCTACACTAATTCTTTCTCCGAGGTAGCTGCCAGCTCTTCGGTCTCCTGCGATGTCGACTAACCTTTTTGCTATTTCCTTAAAAAGCCTTATAGCGCTAGGACCTCACGGAACAAGGGTCTCGACACCGAATGGGACAAAATCATATTCGGAGCCTAGACCCCTGTATTTGCATGCTTTGCCTTTTTCAGCCGCTTCACAAGCCGCACCAGCTCTGTTGTTGGTTTCATGTATAGAATATACATCCAATAGGATGAGATGAAATAAAGAAACGCTCAAACACAAACGAAGTCCCGAACAGTTAATTCCTCTTTTTGTAGTCTTGTAAAAAAAATCCGGTCGTAGTATAGTTTTCCAATACTTAGGTACTTCGCGAAATTCTCGCAAACCGATAGTCCGATAACTCGTTTCGACAAATCTCTTCCACCGCCTAATTATAAACTTGCGAGTTCCACCTTCCCTTTTATTTTTCGCTTCCGCAAAATTTATTATTCTCGCATACAATATAAAAAAAAACTTTTTCAATCAGCTCCCGAAACGTTTACGATAAAAATCGATGCTTGAACCTTAAAAAGCCCATTTAAGTTCGGTTTCTTATATAGTACAGGTTGGATCAACCGTTGCCAAACCTCGAGTGGTATCGAAGACAAAAAGTTCTTGAAACTTGAGATTAGCGTCTGGTATAAGATGTGACAATATGACGTACCTACTACATTTTGGAAACTTCGGTTTGATTTCAATTTAAAGTGAGTCTTTAGACAGTCTTTCTGGATAAGTTTAAAGTATTTTAGGATTTACGCGCGCGGTAGAATAACATAAGCCGACGGGGGGCAGGGGGGGGGGTGACCTTGCACCTTGTGAAGTACTCCGACCATACCTGAGCTCTTTGTAGGGCCGAACGTACAGAGCAGCAAAAAACAAACGACGGGTTGCACTAAGGGAGAAATGAAAACTTGAAAAGTACTATCATGTATGTATACAATATTTATTGATTGCGTTATCGTACACAAACATGACAATTTATATTACATTAAAAAAGTTTATCTCTCAGAAAAACAACTTACATAAATCACATCTAAGCGCACCTAGCGACTCTCTATCTATTGTGTGTCATGATGCGATCAGCCCACGTGTTTAACTTGACGCGAGTGTAACATTTTTTATCCATACAAAAAAATGTACAACGCCGTTAAAGAAGTTTTCACTTCAAAAATCAACAAACGGCCATGATTTTGGTCGCGTCCAAATAGTCAGATTTTTTAATAGGAGCTACTTGGGTTCAGGTTTCAGTACAGATTCTTTACCGTGCGGATACACTATTCACTGTACAGAGTGCTGCCGAGCACTATCGAGTGCTACGGAACCATTCGACTCGCCTACATCGTCACATCCACAAACAAAACGAAACGATACCGCACCGAAACTGAGCCGGTTTAGATGTGCTTCTCAGTAAAGAATCTGTACAGATTCGGTACAGAAACGTAAATGAAACGAGTCCGCACCGACCCGGTGAGGACAGCGCCTTAGTATTCAATGAAGCGACATCATCGTGTCAAGAGTTTATTAGTAATTGACAATTTCCGCAGTTACTGTCAGTCGGATATCAATATAGTTTTTTGTTTTTATATTGTCTGTGACGCCTTAGATTATATTGTATTGATAGTTTACTATCATACACGTCCTTTAAAATTTATAACGTGGTATGTGTTCGTCTTAGGGATGGTGATCTGAGATCGATTAATCGAAGAATCGATTTTTTGAGCCAAAAAGATCGATTTTATTAATTGATATGTAGTACAGAATCGATTCACTGAATCGATATTTCGCCCTTGAAAATCGACATTCGTTTTTATTTTATTTATTTGGTATAAACCAAAAAAGTATTTACAATTATTTGAATGTACCCGTTTTATGGGTGCTGCCGGTAAAAGGGTTAATTATAAAAAAATCGCGAGATGGCTATATGTTTGGATTCCTTCTCCCCTTTTAAATAAAAAAAATTACGTTTGTTTGTAATCTTTGAATAAAAATATTTTTTATCATCGAATCACCTGATTTTACTGATAAGAGATCGTTAAATTGTAATATGTATCTTGTTTTTAATAAAATAGACTTATATTACATTATAAACAAAAACTTAAAAAAAAGATAGATTTTTCAGAAATCGATCTTATTGGCCCCGATTTTTTGTGGATCGATTCATTAGGTCACGATTCGGATCGATTTAAAAATCGATATTTTTCGGAAAGAATCGCCATCCCTAGTTCGTCTGTTCATTGTGGAGTTGCCTGCAAAATTTAAATTTGGAACGTATTGCCAGAATGCTTCATATAACATGCTAATACATCGTAAAATTAATAAAACCTCTTTCTTTTAATATTCACTGAAGTAGAGAAAAAATATAAAGTGCTCGTTTTGAAATATTGTATCTGAAAGTTTACTATCATA